GCCGCCTCCTCCCACACCATGCAACTCCCCTCGCAGCTCTGCAGCTCTGCCTGCGGGTGCCCAGCCGCCTCCTCCCCGCGCAGCTCTGCAGCTCTGCCTGCGGGTGCCCGGTCCCCGCGCAGCTCTGCAGCGCTGCCTGCGGGTGCCCGGCCGCCGCCTCCCACACCATGCAACTCCCCTCGCAGCTCTGCAGCTCTGCCTGCGGGTGCCCAGCCGCCTCCTCCCCTCGCAGCTCTGCAGCTCTGCCTGCGGGTGCCCAGCCGCCTCCTCCCCGCGCAGCTCTGCAGCGCTGCCCGCAGCTGCCCGGCCGCCTCCTCCCACACCATGCAGCTCCTCACGCAGCTCTGCCTGCAGCTGCCCGGCCGCCCCCTCCCACACCATGCAGCTCCTCACGCAGCTCTGCAGCTCTGCCCGCAGCTGCCCGGCCACCTCCTCCCACGCCGTGGTGCCACAGCGTCTGCAGCTGCGTGTTTGGCTAAGTGTTGGCCACGCAGAGGTGGGGGTGTGCCGAGCCCACCAGGACTGAGGTTCTAGTGGTCAGCCATCTTTTTCCTGTCTCTATGGTACACCGTAGGTGAGGGGTTCTCTACCGCAGCCTGCCCTTCTCTGCGCCTCCCTCAGTGTGTGCCACATCATCTTCCTCCTCCTTTCCCAGACCCCCCTCTCCCACCAAGAAGGTTACCCGGCCTGCAGCCACTCCGGACCGGAGCAGGCCTCACCTGTTCCATAGGGCCCCTCCCCTCCCCTCTCCCCCAGGGAGGGTATGTTCTTCCTTAACCAGCAGGAAAGGAAGGGAAAGGCAATCTCCAACCACAGGGGCTCCAACAGCCCATAGGCTGGCATCCCAACTCACTCTGATGTCCTACCCATCCCTGCTCTGCCCCCTGTGGGCCTAGGCCAGTGGGGTGGGGGTGTACGGTGCATACAGTGAAGTGACTGGGAAGGACAGCTGGAGGATGCTGTACGCTGGAGCTTAGCAACATCTCAGCCTCCTGGGAAGAGCTAGGAGCTCCAGGCCAAGACTGGCTGGGCTGAGGGAGCCCGGGGCTGAGCGGCCTGATCCGCAGCACTCCATGGCCTTGCTAGCTCTGCCCCCTGCCGGGGACTGCATGTCTCTGTCTTCCGAAGGCTCACCCAGAGCTGAGCTCTCGCCAGCTCCTGTTAGAATGGGATGAGATGAGACCGTCTGCATGTCTCTGTCTTCCGAAGGCTCACCCAGAGCTGAGCTCTCGCCAGCTCCTGTTAGAATGGGATGAGATGAGACCGTCTGCCTGCACAGCCTTATGTAAGGGCGCCGAGCACCCTGTGCTGGCACAACGTGCTTTAACTCCTGTGCAGACATGATCATCCTGGTAAAAAGAGGCGTGCACCACAGCACGCCCTGGGCCTGAGCTGGCCTCCGTGGGATGAGTGGGGTCCATGTCCAGCCGGCCGGTGAGTCAGGTACCTAATCCCTCTAATCCCTTCCAGGAGGCTGAGCCTAGACCAGGCTGTGCTGCACTTGCTGGTTTGCTGACTCACTGTGCAGTCAGCACCTCTCTCTGTGCTTCAGGAGAGCTCAGGCAGGAGCCACCTGCAGCCCAGACCAGGGCTCAAGACTTCCTGGGCTTTCAGCATCTGTTCCGTGGAAGGCTGCTTTGAGATCATCTGTCCAGGAGCTCTGAGCACTGAGGTCTTTCCAGCACCCCAATTAACGCATCAGTCTGTGAGGTCCCCGAGGCAGGACAGGACATCTCTACTTTAACTCTCTTCTTCCTCTGTTACCACATGAAGAGCCTACACTGGCTCTGCCAGACACAGGAGCAAGAGTGTATAGACAGTATGACGCCTATATGTTTCAGAGAAGCTGGCTTTGGCAGGTACACAAGTCAACCCAAGCCCCTGGCCTCATGGGGCCTTCAGGGACAGTGTCACCATGGCCCTGCTGTGGGCTCTGTGACTGTGTGCCCACCACAAGCACGTTGACCAGCTAGTGGCACGCCCAGGTACTGCCTACTGTTCACGGAGCCTAAGGGGGCCGTGTCTTGGAGCCTCTCAGTCACCCACCACACAGGCACCCCCACTCAGCAGCTTCAGGCCGGATAGAGGCTCATGAAACACACGTTTCACCACTGGAGAGCTGCCCTCCTTCCTGGCTACCTCAGCGGCTTCCAGAAAACCCAGACAAGGATAACTTCAGAAGCTTCTTGCTCTCCCTTCGGAGGCTTCTAGATATGCATTCTGAATTGTAAGCTCTCCCACCAAGGGAAACCGAGGCCCCACCCCTCAAGCTGTCCAGAAGCTCCCTTCTCCTGCGGATGTCTACCTGGGGAGAGGTCTGCCTCTTGCCACACTTGGGTCCTCTGCCCTTTGGAGACCTTGTCTAGCCTAGCAGAATCAGGACCCTGACTTACTCTACCAATGCACAGCTACCACTCCACCCTCTCCGCCCCTCCGCCCAGCTTTAACAGAACTTTATCATCTTGGCTCCTCCTAGGGTGAAACTGGCTTTCAGGAGGAGCCCAGCCTGAGAGTGACGCCCACCTTACCAGCCCTCCCTCTCCCCCTGCCACCAACCCAACGACATCCTCACAGGCCTGTGCCCCCAATGCCCTTCCAGAAGGGATTTCCAAGGGCAATCTGCCCCTCACCTTAGACCCCTGGGCCTGCGGCTTCCCCCACTCCAGAGGAAATTCTTTCCTGGAGTCAAGTGTCAGTGCCCCTCTGGCTGTCCCCTCCACTGAGCCAACAGGCCCAAAATAGCCCCAGCTGTCAGCAGGCATCTATCTGAGCTGGGGGCAGGGCTGGCAAGACCCCCAAGCCACTCTCAGAGTGAGGGACAGCCCAGTGACGCAGTGGTACAGATGGCAGTCCCAGCCTTCCCAGACCCCAGCAGACATCCCTGGATGAGAAGTGGGAACCTGGCCCCCTCTTTGCCCAGGTGGTGGACCCCTAAAAGCTCCATAGTTGCGCGGAATGACCATGACCTTCAGCTCAGCTACTCCCCACGCGCCCAGCCTGACCCCCACACAACACACTGCAGCTCTGCCTCCTCACCTGTCTCTGCGGGGGCTCAGGCAGCGCCCAGGCTGGGCCACTGATGGTCGATGAGGGGCTGCCGGGTCGCGCCTCCTTTCTAGGGCCCAGGACAGTGTGGTTCCCCCCGGCAGCCCACACTCCGGCTGGTCCTCAGACTGGACAGGGACGAAAGGACAGGCAAACACTGTCGGCTGAGGAAGGCTGGCCCCGCCCCACCCCCACCGCTGGCCAGCCCAGCCCATCTCCAAAATAGCCTGGGTGTCACCGGGATTTGATTTCACCCTCGGCCCCAGGGAAGCAAAGGGCAGATGGTCAGGGACAGGAAGACGCCTGCGGCCTCCTGCGGGGCTGGGGTTGGGGGTGTGTGCAGCTGGGCCTGTCCACCTCGGGCCAGCATCCCAGAGTCAGGTCGGGGAAGGAGCGTGGGGCTCAGAATGACTCTGAGGGGTCAAGAGAACAGCCTTGAGGAGGGTACCCAGGGGCCCAGAACCAGCCCCAAACGCCCCGGAACACCTGGATGGCTGCAGAAGGGGATATCCATGAGCCACACCCAGATCCCTGGACCCTGCCTACTGCACCCTAAACATACCTGTGACCAGGGCCACGCTGATCCTGCCCGCTGTGCTCAGCCATCTTCAAACAAGGCTCGGCCGCCGAGAAAACCCAGACTGGTCAGGCCAAGGGACCTGGACATGTGCATCTCACGTGGAGACCCTGCCAGGAGGGCGGGCTGGCCGCAGGGCCACCAGAAGCCCAGGTCTGAAGGGACACGCGGCTCTCCCCACAGGCGCCCACTGAGGCGGGTGGAGCCGAGGCAGGTGCCCTGCAGCCCACAGAGCTCTTCCACAACTAGCAGCACCAGGGGAGCCAGGGAAGTCGTTAGCCAGAGCAGGGCCTGGGAGGATGGCCCAGGGGCCAGAGAACTGAGCTGGAGGAAGACAGGGAGGAGCCCCAGGTGCCGGGCTGAGGCTGCTCTGCACCTGCAGTCTCCACCCTTATTCCTGAAACAGTTCCAGGGTGCCATTGTCATTGCTAGCACCCCAGCTTGTGCTGAGGACCCTCTGCTAGGGTGCATTTGACCAATATCTTGTGTCTTCATTGGCAGAAAGAGGGCCACAGAGCTCTCTGTTCTTTTCACAAGGACAATAATCCACTCATGAAGTTCCGTGCTCATGAACACTTCCAAAAGCCTGATTGATTTTGGAGGAGGCAAGCTTAGTGCATAATCTCGATGATGAAGAAAAGAAGTAAGACTGGGATGTGGCTCAAGTGGTAGAGCACCGCCTAGCGAGCAGGAGGGAACTAAGAAAGAGAGAGGGGGAGGGAGGGAAAAGAAAAGGGAGGGCGGGAGGGAGGGAGTGGAAGACATTTCCCCCAGGAACTCGATGAGGAGCCACAGCTCCTCCTAAGCATGCATATATATATATATATGTATATGTATATGTATATATATATATGTATATGTATATATATGCATGTATGTGCACATGTGTATAGCTGCGTTGCGTGACTGCACACACATGTATGACATCTTACATTTGCATTTGAATGTAAGTTGGAGGGTGTGTGTTCTTGTATGTTCATGCATACATGGTTGCATGTGTTAATGTAAACGTGTGCGTACATGTGTGAACTGGTATGGGCACACCTGTGTGTGTGGAGGCAAGCATTGGAGCATGCCCCAGTCTCCCAGGATAGGCTTGTGGGAGAGCAAAGAGGGCATCCCTGCTGCTCAGCTGCCTAGAGGTCCTCCAGGAAGAGATGAAGCCCTCTTAACCACAGCCCTCCTCATATCCGCCTTGCCTGCACAGCCACACAGCACGCTCCGCAACCTTTCTGGCTGGTTTTCCAGCCTCTCCATTCCTTGGAACCTATAGGTCCCCTCTTTTTGTTTCACATTTACCTAAAATACATATACTTTATTATTTATCTTCTTGTGTCGATACTGAGGCTTGAACTCAGGGCCTTGGCACTGTCCTTCAGTTTCTTGGCTCAAGGCTAGCACTCAACCACTTGTGCCACAGCTCTACATTTGGCCTTTTGGGTGGTTAATTGAAGTTGAGCATCTCAAGGACTTTCTTGCCTAGGCTGGCTTCAAACGTGGTCCTTAGATCTCAGTCTCCTGAATAGCTAGTATTACAGGCATGAGCCACCAATACTTACTTACTTACTCACTTACTTTATCCCTCCCTCCTCCCTCTTTCCCTCCCTTATCCCTTCCTTCCTTCCTTCCCTCCCTCCTTCCCTCCCTTCCTTCTTTTTCTTTCTTCTTTTTTGTGGTGATAGGGATTGAATTCAGAGCCTCATGCTTAAAGGTAAGTGTTCCACCACTTGAGCCACACTCCCAGTCCTGTTTGCTGAGGTAGGCTCTGGCTTTATGCCCAGGCCAGACTGCGACGGGATCCTTGTACTTGTGCTGCCCCATGTCACTGGGAATGCAGGTACACACGCTGCACTCGCCACCAGGCCCAGCCACTGGTGGAGGTAGTCTGTGGAACTTCCTTTGTCCAGGGCTGGCCTTGAATCTTAAGCCTCCATCTTTACCATACTAAATAGCTAGTGTTACAGGCTTGAGCTGCCATACCCAACTCTTTTTTTTTTTTTTTTACTTAAGTTATTGGAGTTGATGACAAGAAGATGTAATTGTGCATTCCAACAGATGACTCTGTGACATTTGCAACATTTCTTGTGTGTGTGTGTGTGTCACACCAGGGATCAATCCATCAATGCCCCAGTAGGTATATAGTCAGCCTTCAGTATCTAAAGGGGAGAGTTATGGACTCCAGTGCACTCTCAGATGCCACTTTGGATTCTCAATTTCTTCATGCAAATGTTATAGCATAGGCTAGGGATGGTAGGTAGCTCATACCTGAAACTCTAGCTAGTTGAGAAGCTGGGATCAAGAGCATCACCGTTCCAGGCCAGTTTGGAAACACTCCCTCTCAAGGGAAGAAGCTGGGTGTGGTGGCCTGTGCCTGTCACTCCAGCTACTGAAGGAAGTGTAAAATAGGAGGATTCTGGTTCAGGCACACAACCAGGCAGAAAGCAAGACCCTAACTCAAAAGTAAGCAGCACAGGAGCTGGGAAGGTGGCTCAGTGGTAGAGTGCTTGCCTTGCATGCCTGAGGCCCTGGGTTCGATTCCTCAGCACCACATAAAGAAAAAAGCCGGAAGTGGCACTGTGGCTCAAGTGGTAGAGCGCTAGCCTTGAGCTGAAGAGCTGAGGGACAGCGCCCACACCCAGAGTTCAGGCCCCACGACCGGACCAAAAAAAAAAAAGTAAGCAGCACAAAATATGACTGAAAGTGTGGCTCAGCAGTAGAGCGCTTGCCTATCAAGGTTCTGAATTCAAAACCCAGCTCTACAAAAAAAAAAAAATCCTATTATTTGTGTTAACATGGATGGGACAGGGATCATTATATTAAGCAAAACAAGCCAGGCACTGAAAGACAAGCAGCTCTTATCACTCACATTACACACCACATTCCACGTATCACTCTCATGTGGAATCTAAAACGTTGGCAACATAAACTGTGAGAGGAAGCAGATACGACATGTAACAGTCTAAGTCTTCAAAACAGCTATTAAAACTAGGTTCAAAGAACTTGGCCAAACATTCTTAGAAAAGAAAGATAAAAGTATGATGTCTTATTAAATAGAGAACAACAGTAAATTTTGGATATTAAGTTAAAAACCTAAAACATCCACAAGATGTTTAACAGGAAAGGAGGTACATTCCTGTCATACCAACACTTGGGGGAAGTCTGAGGCAGAAAGATTGCAGTTTGATGCCAGCTTGGGCTGGCAAGGTGCTGTCTCAAACAGAAAAACACAAACCAAACACCAAGGGTGGACAAATGCAGCAGTGGTACACCAGGCACTATGCTGAAAGTGAACTATACAACTTGTGGGTAGGACTGGAGGGAATCACTGAGCGTGAGGTAAGGAGTGACACTGTCCGAAAAGAAACGTACCCACTGCCTGTGTATGTAACTAACCCCTCTGTGTGTAACTGTAACCCCACTCTACATCACCTTTAACAACAACATCACCTCATCATCATAAAAACTGGAAAACAAGACAAAACAACCAAATGGAAACTCTAGAGGTAAGAAGTATAACTGAATTGGCATATTCATTAGAGTCTTTATGGTAAACTTTTAACAAGCAGAGGCAAAAATGAGTGAACATGAAGATTGATTAATAGAGCTTATGCAATCCAAAGCAAAAAAAAAAAAAAAAAAGGAGCATAAAGAGCAAAGAAAAGGACAGCTGACAGTGGCTCACGCATAGAATCCTAGCTACTGAGGAGGCTGAGCTATGAGGATTGAAGACAACCAGGGCAGACAAATCTGAAAGACTCATTTTCAATTAATCAGCAAAAATTCAGGACTAGAGTCATGGCTCAAATGGTGTGAGTGAAAAATCTAAGCAAGAATGTGAGGCTTTGAGTTAAACCCCAGCACTGCACCAAAAAAGACACCATTAAACACATCCTCATATATGAGGAAAGCCTATCGGAAATAAATGCCAGAGGTAATAAAAAGATGAAAACAATCCACATCTCCCAGCAGGTGAATGGATAAACATGCACAGTACTGCAGTTAGCTGTCATCCTTAAGTGAATTATCAGAACATCCTAACTAAGGATTCATGTTTATACATCGCATATCATTTCTCCCAAAGAGTTGAAGCTCGCCTGCTCAGGCCCAGTCCCCAACATGGATCATATGCCCATACTACTCTCTTTACTGACTTGTCAATAGATCTGTGCTTCTCTAATGGTGAGTGTGTTTCTGTGTGTGTGTGTGTGTGTGTGTGTGTGTGTGTAATTGTTTACTCAAGATGCCAAGAACCTGGATACAATAATAAATCAAAACCAGCATCCAGTAACACATCCACACAAAGGAATTTTTGTGGGTGTGTATGTATGTGTGTGCTAGTATTTGGGCTTAAATTCAGGGGCTGACTGCTTTCCCTTAGCTTTTTCACTCAAGGCTGATGCTTTACCACTTGACGCACAACTTCACTTCTAGCTCTTACTGAAGATAAGAGCTTCACAGACTTTCTTGCTCAGGCTGGCATCAAACTTTAATCCTCAGATCTCAGCTTCCTGAGTAGCTAGAGTTACAGGTGTGATCCACACAATGAAACCTTATTTAGCCTTAAATGGAAGAAATCTCAAAGACATCATACTAAGAACAGGAGCCATGGCACATGCTTGTATAACTCCATATAAAGGTGAAATGTTCACAGAGGGTAAATCCATAGAGATAGTAAACAGATTATGATTGCTAGGGTCTGGACAGAGATGAACTTGACATGACTGCTTCCTGAGTACCAAGTCTCCTTCTGATCTGATGAATATATGCTGAAACTATGCAGAAGTAATGGGCGCATGATATTGTACTGTACCGAATACTCCAAACTGTACACTTTAAAATGATCTTACATTATACGAATCTTACCTCAAATTTTTAAAAAGCTACAATGAATTTTAAAACATAATGAATTTTTAAAAGCTATGATGTTTTAAAAACCAAACCCAAATTAGAATAAATTTTGAGAGAACTTTTTTGTGCAAGGATTTCTTACATGAGCCCATTCTAGAGGGAGAAAAATTAATTGTGGCCGGGTGGCGGTGGCTCATGCCTGTAATCCTAGCTACTCAGAAGGCTGAGATCTGAGGATCGCAGTTCAAAGCCAGCCTACGCAGCAAAGTCTGATACTGTTATCTTTAATTAACCACCAGAAAACCATAAGTAGCACTGTGGCTCAAGTGGTAGAGTACTTGCTTTGAACTGAAGAGCTCAGGGACAGCACCCAGGCCCAGTTCTCAAATGATAGAGCATCAGCATTGAGCAGAAAAAGCCAAGCAAAAGCATAAGGCTCTGAGTTCAAACCCCGGTACCAACACAACAAATAAATACATACGCTAATTATCAATCCTGTTGTTCTTGGTATCCAAGGTACAGATGGAAGCAGAGATGTCAGACTTTTTTAATTATTAGAGATGTCAGATTTTTATCTTGCTCTTAGTTAACTTATGGGCCCAAATGAGAAGCCAGTATTTCTTGCAAGAGCAGTTTCTAAGTACCTATTATACTACCATTGTTTTTGCGCATTTATCATTTCATGCCGAGAACATTCTCAGTCCTCTCAGCTATTCTGAATCATATGCCGGTGTTTGTGCCTAGTCACCAGTGTAAGAACAGGTCTTGTTCCCTCTACTGTGACCTTTACCTGTCAACCAGTATCTCCCTCTTCCCTCCCAGCCATGGGTAAGGGACCACGTCTATATTCTTACTCAAATGTAAATACCTTATTTTGTTAGATATATTTAATGTATTTATTTTATATGTTGGGTTACTTCAATGTCTTAAACTTAATGTACTTGACTGTACTCTTTTCTTAATGGTCCTGGCTCATATACAGTATTGTAATTTTTGTGAACGTATCTTTTGGGGTGCATGGGGGGTTTGTGCTAGTACTGGGGATTGAACCCAAGGCCTGAGTCTCTTGCTGTTTTTTCCACTCATGGTTGGCACTCAACTTGAGCCATGCCTCCGGTTCCAGCTTTGGTTTTGTTGGTTAACTGGAAATAATCTCATAGACAGATTTATCTTCCTGGGCTGAATTTAAACCTTAATCCTCAGATCTCAGCCTCCTTGAAGAGGTGTGATTACAGGCATAAACTATCAGCTCCATGTTTTAAAAAAGTAAAAAAATAAATAAAAATAAAATTTTAAAAGCCTCTGAGAGAACCCGACCCCTTGCCTTCACCCCTCGATACTCCCTCCAGTTAGTTCCCAGAGCTCATGACAGTGCAATACGAAAACCGACCGTCAAAGCCAGCTCCTCTGCCAACAGAAATAGGAAGAACTGTAGTTCTCCCTTCCTACCTGGGGTAAGGCGCCAGGCAATTAGGACGCACCTTACAGCTTGGAGCCCATGGAAATCTCTGAGACCAGTCTCCCACACCGCATCCATCCTGGTAGGACTTTGGCTGAGGCCAAGACTCTGCTGCTCCTGCCCCTCCTGCCTCCAGACGGAGGCAAGCAGGCAATCCCCCCTAAGCCAGTGTACATAACCAACATGGCTGGCCAAGCCCTCCCCTCACCACATCATGGCCATGCCTGACCATTTCATCAAAGAACACAGAGTTTATCTTCCCAGGATGGAGTCAGGATTCCTTGGAATACTTTCTCTAAAGGACGACTCAGAGTGGTTGCTCTGAAAGGTTTACAGCAGAAACCCAGCTGTATGTGTTAAATTACGATAGCTCATCTCACACCAGGACACACAGGGGGTCCTGGAGATTTAAGCCAGCCCTCCCTGTAAAGCTGATTCCTTTTGTTCATTTGAGTTTTTTTTTTTGGGGGGGGACGGAGACTAAGGATTGAACCACTTGAGTCACGCCCCATCCTGTTGTCTTAAGATAGGTCTCACAGACTCTGCCCAGGCTGGCCTCAAACTCATGACCCTCCTGGCTCTTCCCCCCGAGGAGCTGGAACTACAGGCCCATCCCACCATGCTTAACATGGCTTAGTCTCTCCAAGAAACAGGTATCTGTTCAATATGAACCATGCTTTAAAACTGAGTAGTCCCCAAATAGCAGCAGGCCTTGGGCCCCACCCACCCCCACTCTCAGGCAGGCTCCTGCACAAGGCCGGGTACGTGACACACCCAGAACGGTCTGGCTCAGGCACAAACACTCGCGTCAGAGTCACAACCTCCGAGGGATGGCCTCCAGTCACGCGGCAGGTGCTACCTGAGAGAAAACTGGCCTCAAGTCCTCCCAGATGTCTAAGTGAACTCAAATGCTGTAGGCATGGGGGTGGCACCCAAGGGACACCTCTGAGACGTCCTCGGCGGAGGCCAGGCAGCCAAGGCGATAGCTCCTATCAGCATGCTCCTCTCCCTTGCACGTGTGCGTGCGAGCGTGCGTGTGCGTTTCTCCATGGGGAAAGGGAGCCAGACGCCAGGCCGTGACAGACATGTGCGGTCATGGTCCAGGCTCGGACAGCCCAACCAGGACAAGGCAGCACGCGCCAGAGCCTGCACAGCCTTTATTGATGGCCCCAGGAGGAGTCTCTGCTCCTGCCTACAGGCAGCCGACCAGGCGTGGCCTTGGCCCCGTGGTGACGGTCGTTAGCACCGTGGGGTCTCGGCTGGGAGGCGCCGCCTCAGTCGCTGTGCTGGCCTGGTCCTTGTACCCAGTTATGCAGTGCCCAGCCTCCTGGTCCTCCCTCTTCTTGCTCCTGCAGCCCCTTCCCAGGCCACTGAAAACTGCACTTCTGTGCAGGGGCACTGCGGCCGCCGGCCGAGACGACCTCCAGGGATAAGGCTGTCAGGGCCCCTGCCCGGGCTCCAGCACCTCCAGGGATAAGGCTGTCAGGGCCCCTGCCCGGGCTCCAGCACGGCAATAGGCTCCCTCCCTGCTCCAGCCACTGGTGGTCTAGGCTTGGGGGCCCCAGGGCCTGGGACCTGCAAACCAAAGCTCAGAGCCACCGGCTGCCCAAGCCCTGAGAACCGAGCGTGCACTGGCCACACCTGACCCTCCCCTGCTCACAACAGCACTGTGCACAGAGCTCTGCTGAGACGCTGATTTCACTGTGTTTGCTGTTCTCCAGGGATGGCAACTGCACATGTCCTGTCTACCAACCCCCAAAACACATCCCAACTTCCTCCTGCCTGAAATGAAACCAGAGTTCTGACATGGCTGTTTGTAGGCCACACTTTAATACACCCCTCCCTGTCTGTGCAGCATGTTCACATTACAACAGGGAAAGGCTGCCAGTCCCAGCGGCGCGCCTCACCGCTGGCCAGGAGCTGCTCCCATACTGACACCACAGGGCAGTTTCTCAAACCAGAGAAAAACACCTCAAGTAGAAACCCCTCCGCCAGGACTTCAGCACCCTTCCTGCAGACTTCCAGAGGCAAAAGCAGGAGACATGTGTGTTGTGGGTGCCTTTCTGGACCCCACAGTGTGTGTAAACTAGTCACAGAGATACCCTTAGAAAGTGCTGACTCAGATGTGCAGAATCCGTCCCAAGGAGCCATGCTGACTCGGGGTGCAGACATCGCGTCCCAAGGAGCCCATGGCTCCAACCTCAGACAAACTCCCACCACGAAGCTTTTTCCAAAGCCTGTCGACACAGCAGACATGCAGGCTGCCCACCTCCAGCTGGGAACAAGCCGACACCAATGCCATGCTGTCTTTGACCTAAGGACCATATGGGAACCCAACCGGGGTCGTCCGGCCCTTCCTTCTCCTGGCCTGAGGGGTTCCTGCTGGCCCAGGCACAGGGTGTTCCAGGAGAGGATGTCGCGCAAGTATGGGACCCTCCCCAAGAAGAATCAGTGGTGGCTGGGCTTGACTGTGGCCGGGGCACACAGGGACGTTCCAGCTGAGCGTTCAGGGGCCCACCATGCAAAGTGGGGCTCATACCTAGTGGAACACAGCAGACAGACTGTGGCACCCCAGCAACAGAGCACGCAGGGCTACTTGGTGGCTGGAGGCCACCAGTCTGGCACTGAGGCAGTTACAGCCACCTGACGGTTCTCAGAGGTCTTCATGTGGAGAGGACCTTTGATGGTGTCCGACCGAAGCAGGGCCAGTCCCACACTCCCCTGGCCGGCTCTGAACTTGCCAGCTGTCTGTCCCGTTTCAGTAAGCACCACAGTGCCAAGGCCAATGCCACGCTCGGGGAGAGGGCCCTCGAGATGCACCGGGAAGAGGCGCTTTCGAATGACACCCATGTGGTGGGTGCGAGCGGTCAGCTCCTGGCCAATGTAGCATCCTTTGGTGAAGCTCACGCCGTTCATGAAGGCCAAGTTGGACTCCAAGGGTAGGGCCACTCCTGGAGGCAGGTCTCGAACCCCCTCGGGGATGCCTGTGGGGGTCAGATACCAGAGAGATGAGTCCCAGTCCTGTCAGTCTTGTCCAAATGGGCAGGACAATCCCACCCAGCCTCTCTACCTGTCCTGCCCACTTGGGGGCCACACAGCTATGTGGGTTCCCCTTTCCCGCCCCTCCTCCCCACCCGTCCCGGCGAACCTCCCATACCTTGTTGGTATCGATGTATGTGATAATCCCGGAGGTCCCCAAGCCGGCCCCTGGGCACGAGAGTTACACCATGGTCTTGGGTGAGAAGCCGCCAGCCCATGCGTGCCGTCCGGGGATCGCGGGCCAGGATGGCGGTGGCTTCCACCCTCTCCTGCAGAGGCACAGCTCTGGACAGATCGGGGGCGCTGGGCAGCACAGCCCACACGTGGAGCTCTGGACTCAGCTCCACCGTGACCTTCCGTCGGATCTTGTACAGTGCCAGGTGCTTCTGCAGGGCTCCCAGCACAGAGCTGTCGCACTCCAGGAAGAAGCCCGGTGCCCCCTCAGGAAGCCTGTCAGGAGAGAGGGAGGGGGTTAGGGAATGGGAAGGAGTCTCTGCCCACTGCCTACTCAACAATGATGAAGACCAAAGCACGAAGAACAGTGCCCGGCTGCACCACCAGTGAACAGCATCACAGACAGACAAGTGTGCGCTTTGACCGTGCCCCTGGAGGGCCAAGGGCAGTGCTCACAGCCATGTGGGACCACACCACTCCACTATGCCCACATGTGAGGAGCAGACAAGCAAGACCATCAGGCAGAGTCAGGACTCTGGCTACATAGAGCAGTGCTGCCAACGCGTGTAGGGTTGGTGACAGACAAGTGCACTGCAGGCCAAAGAGGCCCAGTCTCATCATTAAGCACGGACAAATACATGAGAAACAATGCAGACAGTCTTGCCCTTAGGCAAGCACACTGTGGAGTTTCAGGGCTACATTTCCAAAGTCCCAACACACAGAGAGCCACATCCATGGATACACAGCACTGTCCCTGGGAAGCACAGGCAGACACAGAAAGGGATTGCCTTGTATAATTGCTGGGCCCAGCCCCTACAAATTCTGGTGTAGATCTAGCCTCCAACCACTTGGGCCTTGTGCAGAAGACTGCACTGGAAATGCACTACCAACCCACTGAGGAGCCAGCTGATTTACCAGTAGGTTCCAGGGCTGCCAAAGGCCCAAGAGGAGATGGTTAGGCTCAGACCAAGGGCTTCCAACCATTCGTTTGGGAAAAGAGCTCCTGGGAAGGCGGCTGACTGCTCTGAGGACTTGTCACAGCTGACGTCTCTGCACATCTCTTGTTCTTTAGTGCATACCCAACCCGAAATGAGACCCTCGCTCAAAAATGACAAGCAAACTCTAGGCTGGAAGTCCGGCTCAGAGGTAAGAGTGACTCCTTTTAACCACAAGGTTCTGATTTCAAACCTCAGTACTAATCAAAAGAAAAAGAAAATTTCCTAAAAAATAACAGCCAACAATTTTTTTAAAAAAATTCTAGAGCTTAGCTGGGCACTAGTGGCTCCTACCTGTAATCCTAGCTGAGATCTGAGGATCATAGTTCAAAGCCAGCCTGAGCAGGAAAGTCCATGAGACTCTTATTTCCAATAAACTACCAGAAAACCGAAGTGGCGCTGTGGCTCAAGTGGTAGAACACTAGCCTTGAGCTGAAGAGCTGAGGGACAGCGCCCAGGCCCAGAATTCAAGTCCCACAACTGACAAAAAAAAAAAAAATCTAGAGCTTTATCTGAGAAAAGATACTGATCCAGGAAGCAGAACAGGGTGCTGAGAGAAAGGAATGCCTCAAGGATAAGAAGTTGGGCTGGGATGTAGCTCAGTGGCAAAGCGCTTGCCTAGCAAGTGCAACGTCCTGGGTTCGATCCCCAGTACCAAAAAAGAAAAGACAAAAAAAAATACAGTTTAAAAAAAACCCAAACAAAAAAAGGATAAGAAGTTGGAAGTATGAAAGTTTAAATAATCCACATTGTCTGGCATAGTAGTATGCACCTGTAATCCCAGCTGAGACAAGGAGTGAAAGTTTGAGACCAGCTTGGACTTGTTAGCAAGACTACCAAAAACAAAGGGGGGGGGGAAACACCTCCAAAGATAGAGAGATAGAGAGGGAGGCTGGGGGAGACAGAGACGAGCTCTGAGAAAGAGCAAGAAGGCAGAGACATGCCCACGGAGAAGGGCACCACATCAGCCGGCACACTCCAGAGCTCCAGGAGCTCTGCCCTCTCCCCATCACAGCAGCCAGCGAGGGAAACAGCAGCCAAATGAGGAAGAAGGGTAAGCTCAAAGACTCACCCCTAAGCATCCTGGGCAGCAATGCAGGAAAGACAGCAGAGCTCAGTCTTAATCCCCTACAAGCCACCGCAGAGCTGGGGCAGGGTAAAATGTGGGCAACACCAGCCAGCACCCAAAATCCCCGAGGAGGCTTAGACAGACCACCATCCCATTGCTGAGGAGTGAAAGGACCATGAAATGAATTAGGATGGGAGAGGGAAGCTTTCATGAAAGATGATTCAACAGCCCTTGCTCAGGGGGTCACTAGCATTTGGTCTGAGCTGAGCCTCAGGTCAGTGCTAAATGGCCACAGTGCCTCAGCATGCCAGACAGCAACTGACAGACCACGTGCTCAGGCTGTGGGAACTCACCGTCACCAAGCAGAGAATGCAGTTAAAAATCACCCATTACTAAAAACTGGTGACACACCCTGGGCCAGGTGGAAAGATGTGAAAAGGAGAAAAAAAGCCCTAAAAAACAAAACTGAAGTCCTGTACTCCCAGAGAATAGGATGTCAAGGGGCCAAGGACTCGTGTGAAAAGAGATAAAAAGGCAATAGCAGATGTAGGAAAGGAGTCTTAGGGCCCCACACAACATTATAAAGCAAGTATGTTAACAGCAGTGGGCAGAATAGATGCCAGAGTAGCTCCAACTTATGTTGCTGTTACATCCATGTAACTCACTGTACATTGAAAATAGCTGAATATGAAAATGAATATAACCTATGTTCTAACCTAGCAAACCAATCCACCTTACAGTGTGCTGTTGTCCTTGTGGTCAACTGACCATCTGGGAACTGTTCCTTATTCTGAGCAGCACGGCCACAAGATGACATCTAAATTTAAAATTCAACAATGGTGTCTACTGATTGCTTATCACGTCATGTGTACGTCCAAGCATCCTGGGGCTTGAACTCGGGGGCTGACATGACAGTGGAACTCAGACTTTTTCACCACTTGAGCCACAGCTCCACTTCCAGCTGTGTGTGTTTAACTGGGGACAGTCTCCCGGGCTTTTTCTGGGGCTTGTTTCAAACCCCAGATCCTCGGGTCTGTTTCCTGAGGAGCGAGGATTCCAAGTGTGAACTACCACCACAGCTTGCCATCACTTCTGAGCAACTTCAAAGTAAAACAACAACATTGTAAGCCAGGGCCACACGTACCACACATTGCTGACATAAAAGATTCAAGATGAAGCCGGGCGCCGGAGGCTCCCGCCTGCCACCCTGGCTACTCAGGAGGCTGAGGCCTGAGGATCGCGGTTCAAAGCCAGCCCGGGCAGGAGAGTCCGTGAGACTCTCATCTCCAATGAACCACCCCCAAACAAAGCTGGAGGTAGAGCCGTGGTTCAAGCCGTCAGAGTATGGTCCTTGAATAAAAAGGCCCCGGGTTCAAGCCCCGGTACCACCGCGACAGAGGGAGAGGGAGGACGTCGGACCCAGACACCGCGGCGCTGCCGGCGGGGCCGGGCAGGGCGGGCGCATGCGCGGAGCAGCCCGGCTGGGCTAGCCCACGCGGACGCTTTCCGGGTCCAACGTGCCCCCGGGCCGAGACGCGAGAAGGGACGCGTTTCCGGGCCGAGGCGAGCCCCGCGGGGGCCCCGGGCTCCGGGGACGCTCCTCCACCCGGACCTCCGGGAGGTGCGGGGGGCGCGCGGCCGGGCCGGCGCGGGGCTCCGGGGTCGCGGGACCCGGGCGCCGACTGGAGGCCCGCCGCCCTCCGGCCACGCCCGCCGCCCGGGCTTCTAGAAGGCTCTGCCCGCGCGCCTCCCCGCGCGCCCTCCCGCCCCGCCCGCGCTCACCCGTACAGGATGACGTCATAGAGGGTGCGGCCCTGCACGTTCAGGAAGTGGGCGTACGCCGCGCGCGCAGGGGGTGGGGCCGCGCCGGCGTCGGGGCTCGAAAGTGGCAGATCATTGGTCACCAGCCCCAACAGGAAGGGCGCCGCGTCCGGGCCGCGCACGCGCAGCAGAGCGCGCTCGTCCAGCAGGAAGCAGTTCCAGGAGGCGCCGTCCACGGGGTCGCTGCCCAGAGAGCCGGAGCCGAGAGTCAGGCGGCGCCTCGGAGCCCCGTG